TCTACATCTCCTTGCTTCCCTTGTTCCTCTTAATACTTCACTTGAAATCCTGTATCACATTTCACAGAAGAGTTCCCCGAATGTCTAAAAATTTATTTCACAGTACACACACTTCAAAATGTAAAAGGCATGCCTGATCCATTTATGTTGAAATTTAATGAAATTCCAATTCCCATATTGGGCATTTCCAAGTTTCAATCTTGTTTACTAATCTTGATACTTTACAGGGCAGGATTAGGAGACAATTTATTCAGATAAAATGAGAGTATTAACGTCCCCAACCCCTTTTTCCAAAGAGCAAAATAATTCCTTACAATAAGCTCACCTAATAAAAAAAATAGAACAAACTTAAAGTCCGGTTATCTGAGTTCTTTCAGTTCAGTCTCCAGATGGTGCCTGTAATGTTGCAGATTAACCCCTCCGAGCTTCCGCTCAAGGATAGAAAGAGAAGAGTAGGCACCCACGAGCTGGGTTTGCAACCACCTGTAAATTACTCAGAACCGCCCAGAAAATGACCACTTTCCAACGGATATTCCTAGACTCGTGGGTGCTGTAAACCCCGGGATCCCGGGCCGGTTCCCGAGGCCGAGGCCCGGTACTTCTGCACTGCCCTCAGAGAGCTTCTTCCGCACCAGGGTCACCAGGCCGCCGGGGCGGGGGCTCCCCAGGCCCGATCTACCCTCACTCCCCCACCTCCACCCTCACCGCCCACCTCCACTCCCATCCTCTCTCGGTCCGCAAGCCTTCAGACTGCCGACCTGCGTTCGCACCCGACTCCCGAGGAACGGCCGGGCTCCCCGCAGCCCTTCGCTTCCACCGCCAACCAGCCCCGCGGAGCCGCTGCAGGAGGCCACACGCGACGAGGCCGCGCTAGGGCCTCGGAGCGCGGCAGCCGCCCACGGCACTGTCCTCTTCCCGCCGAGCCGAAGTCCGGCCGTCCACGGGCTGCCCAAAGCCAGAAGCAGCATCCCGCGTGTGACAATTGGCGGCCGACGGCGCAACGGCGGCAACGGGAACCGCGAGGCCCAGCTCCCAAACCGACCGCAGCTGGGACCAGCCGCGTTCGCTCCGCCTCCAGAAATCGGGCCGGTGGGGGGGGGGGGGGG